GCGCGGCGGGCGGCCCAGCGGTCGAGCTCGATGAAGAACTCGGCGGCGGAGTCCTCGGCGGCGGTGCCGCGGTCCGCGAGGGCGGCGAGGCGCCTGTCGTTGTGCGCCTGGATCTGCGCGTAGATCTGGGAGGCGTTCATGAGTGAGTGAGTGAGAGTGAGAGTGAGACCGAGAGGTGGTGTGATGGGCGTTTTGAGACCGAAAGGGTTGAGCCCGAGAGGGTGGTGAGATGTTGGTCCTGTGGTGAGAAGTGAAGACGAGTCAGACGAACGAAGGGTATATATACATGTCTACTCGCTCTGCTCACTCGTCCTTGCTGCTCGATCCCTCGTCCTGCTCGCTTCCGGTCACCTGCCTGTCCTGTTCGCTTCCGCCTACTGGCTCCCTGCCTCTCCCCCTCGATCACCGGCTCTCAAGCGCCTCCACAATCTCCTGGATGTCTTGCGGCAGTTCCGGCTCGGCGCACTGGTTTGCCGGGGGGTCGACCACGCGGGCGAGGTGCTGGACGTGGGCGGCGAGGCCGCGGGCGAGGCCCTCGAGCTTCTGGTAGCGCCAGTCGCCGATGGCGCCGGCAACGTGGGACACGGCCGCGGCTGCCGAGCGCGGGGCGGACGCCTGGGCCTGGCGCAGCACAAGGACCTCCTCGGGGACGGGCTCCTTGCGAACCGGTGCCTCGAGGGACTGGCCGGTGGCGCGCGTCCACTAGACGTTGCGCTCGGCCTCGAGCTGGGCGATGCGGTAGCACAGGCGCGCCTCCTCCCTGCTGGGGGTCGCCTTGAGCGCCCATGCGGCGCCGTCGATGTTGTTTGCTGCGCCGCGGCGCCGCAGCTCCTGCGCCTGGTCGCGGACGGAGAAGTTGCGCACGCTGTCGGCGACCTCGCTGAGCGTGCGTGCCGCGTCGCGGTCGGAGGCGTGGACGTCGCGCATGTGGTCGAGCTGCGCGTCGAGGAGGGGCACGATGGTCGTGGGCGGTGGATGTGGTTGCTGTGGCGACGGTTGCGGTGTTTGCGGTGTTTGCGGTGGCGACATGGTGGGATGGTGGTAGGAAGAGTGGTGGGGAGATGGAAAGGCGGGGAGGCATATAAATCAGCGTGATGTCTAAGTTGCCCCGCAACTCGACCGCGGTGCCGGGGCTGGGTGAACCACGGAGTCAGCCGCGATCCAGAGCTTCACAAGGAGAGCGCAGGAGCCGTCAGTGGCGCACATTCAGACAAGCCGGCCGCAATCTGGACCAGAGCGTGACGCGGTCGAGTGGTCGCGTGCCGCACTAACATTGATTATTCAGGGCGACGCTGATAAGATGCGGAGTCATCTGGGTGCTGTGGCGCATCCAGGGAAGCCGGTGAAGCCGGTGAAGCCGGAGGGGACGCCTGCGAGGTCCATGGAGGCGCAGCGGAGTGGTGCGTGGCGCACATTAGGGAAGCCGGTGAAGCCGGTGAAGAACGTGACGTACGTGCAGCTGAATGATGAGATGCGGAGTCCTCGCTGCGTCTCGGCGTCGCTGAGCCAATGGACAGGCGCGCAGCGGGTCGAGTGGTCAGTGGCGCACATTCATATCCAGGGAAGCCGGTGAAGCCAGTGAAGAACGTGCGCCTGCGATAAGATAGCGCCGCGCTAGGACGTCTCGAGGCGGCTGTGAGCCACGATAAGATCGCGCTAGGCTAATCTGAGCCAATGACGGCTGCCCATGCGGGAAGTCAGTGAAGCCGGTGAAGACAGTGAAGGGGGTGAAGGTTATAAGGCCGTCCTCGTCGCGACTTCTTTTCTTTTTCCCCAACCCACGACTTTTCGACATCCCACCCAACGACCTCGCCACCCACCGCCCTCGCCCCTCGCCTCGCCAGCTCGCCTCGCCACCACTCTCGCCCTCCTCGCCATCAACACCCTCGTCCTCGCCATCGACCCCGCCCTCCTCATCGACCTCGCCACCTCGACACTCGACCTCGTCCTCGACCTCGCCACGCCTCCTCGCCACCTCGCCATTCTTGCTCGCCATCACGCCACCCGACCTCGCTACCTCGCCACCCGACCTCGCCACCTCGCCATTCTTGCTCGCTATCACGCCACCCGACCTCGCCATCGACCTCGACCTCGCCACCGACTTCGCCACCGACCTCGCCCTCGCCACCTCGCCACCACCCTCGCCCTCGCCATCGACTGCGCTGCGGTTGGGACTGCGTCGTACTGTTCCGGGCTGGCCCCCGGTTGGTGTGGCGCAGGCTGTCGTGACACAGACGTGTGTCACGCAGTGCCGTCCCGCAGGCAGTCGACTTCGACAACTCAACTTCGACTTCAACTCAACTTCGACTTCGACTCAACTTCGACTTCGACTTCGACCCGACCTCAACTTCGACATCGACTTCGACCCTGCACTAACACACTAACACTAACACTAACACCAGGTTATGCTGACGATAACCACTGTGAGTCCATGCATTCCACCGCTGACAGCTAGCCCGACCATCAACCGCTCGACTGCTCGACTGCTCGACCCTTCGACTGCTCGACCCTTCGACTGCTCGACGCTCGACTGCTCGACGCTCGACCGCTCGACTGCTCAACCTTCGACTGCTCGCTCTAGCCGACTGCCAACTCCGACCTCGCACTCTCAACACCCTCGCCACCGACTTCACTCCGATCCGACTTGCCGACCCGACTCTTCGACTTTGTCCCGACCTTCGACTCAACTTGCCACTTCAACCACGCCTCTCGACCTTGCTTGCTTGCTCTTGCTCGTGCTTGCTCCACTGACCCAGCTCTCGACATCTGCCATCGACACTGCGCTCGTCCTCAGTGAGTTTATTCCACTCTCCTTTCGCTGATCGCTCTGTGCCTCAAGACTCAAGCCTCCCGCCTGTTCGACCCGACTCGCTCGACTCGACTTGGTCCGCCGGTGAGTTCTCCCTACCCCACACCCCACCTCCACCCCCCACTCCACCTCCACTCCACGCCACCTCCACGTACACGATCGGCTCC